CGTCCAAAATGCAGACCCGAATTCTCCTGACGCCTGACATCTTAAGTATGAAAGGCATCTTGATCACATCGTGTCTTGTTTGAAATTGAGTTGATTAAAATACTCAATGTTTTCCAATAAAATCAAGTGATCGAAAGAACGAAACGTTCTCAGTGCACCGAACCATCTATATCCTTGATGATAGGTTGCGTGGCATTTCATGACAGTATACTTAGAAGTTAAATAAAATAGATAGTTACAATTATACACGATGCAACAACATTTTTAGAAATGCTAATTATTGGTTTCTTCTATTAAAGTTGCAAGGTGGATACATATTTGTTTTCACAAAGGTGATCGGTAGTATCAGAGACTTGATCGTCATTATACTGATTAACTGTGAGCATCAATTAGAGTTATTTAATAAACACTAACTGACTTCAGTTCCTTTCTTCCAAGTTTACTTGGAGTGAACTCCATTTAATAATGCTATCCGTACGTCGTTGGTTTCTATGTAACAATCCATCAAAGGGACTAGTGCACTGTTGTTAACAGTGGTAGTTTTAAAGCCAAATACAGAAAGTGTAACGCCTTCGAATTTCGCCCTTGACTATCTTTATCTAACAGTTTCTACTCCACTGAGTTAATTGTTCAGATTATGAAGATAAGTGTTAAAAAAGCCGTTATTTCCGTCATTGATGTATGGAAGTATTTCCTGTTGATTTACTTCAAATTTTTCCACTACTAAAAATTCTTGGCTAATAAGGAGTAAGGTTCATGTCAGGTTATTTAGATGTTGTTCATCACCGAATTTTTCACTAATTTCTTAATGAACACAACTATCCTTAGTTTCAAAAAGAGGTCAGTCAGTTCGTTTACTCACATGCAAAGCCTACAATTATACAGATGTCAAGAACTCCAAAAGAATACTAATTGGTGCGTGAAATGAAGATACTACACACTCGATACCTACTGTGTGTTGTAAGACGTCGATATATTTATTCGAATGAGAATGTAAAGGGAGAAGTTGTAACGAAGTCCCATGACCTTCGTTGGAATTAGATAGTGAGTCTTAAAATTACAGTATAAAACATCAAACAGCCGAAATCCTGTATGTTGTAGTGACAAATAAGTTCACTCCTGAAGAATCACTTTACTTTTAGTGAGTGCAAAACAAACTAGAACAGGAACTTTATTCTCTCACGAAACAAAGGGGCAGTGTGAGGTACTTACCGGATAGTTTGCAATTACCACACTGATACCGCCCTAATGAAGAGAAGATTATACAACTACAAACTAAGCGGTTGCCGGTGTGAGGAATACAATGGATATCTCACTTAAAGCACAACGCATCTTTGGAAGCTATGTGGATTCGGTGAATAGATTCTAGTAAATAAATGGAGTCTCAAAATAGTTCACGCGACAGACATACTCTGAAAATCACTTCCCAATGATGTATTCGATTAATCTACTATATGTCTGTCAATGCTTCTTGACTATAACGTGCCACCATCCGAAATTCCAGATCAAATCAAAGCCAAATGTACTTCATGTTGAAGACTACTTTACAAATCTATATTGTCAGATGATCCGGTGCACATCTGATTGCTGTTTGAATTATGTCGGAAATCGCACGAATTATTGTTTTATCTACTTTGCAAATAAGGTCATAGGTTTATTTAGGACGATATATTAGAATTGGATTCTTCGGAATTATCGGCACTTTTCATGGGACATGAATGTTTTGTGATGAATAAATAGAGAAAAATTACAGAAATGTTATCCCTCATAAGCAAGAGAATCTTAGATCAATTCTCACCTTAAATATACTAGGGCAACGTCCAGGTTCCATGATCCATCCGCTACTTCAATTATTTGTTTAATAATAATGACTATTATTGAAACGTCACGGTTACTCACGTCTTCTTTCCAAATAATCAACCGTAAGCACCCAGTATTGTGAAGGCTTTGAAGAATTCCCCAAAATCAGTGATTATTTGGATGGAAAACTGAATTCTCCCCAATCCCAGTTGTGGTTTGGGGAAGGTATCACTAGTTCCACAGAGGTTAACGTTTCTTTTGGAGCAAACATTTTGCGAACAACGTAGGCAAAACAATAATTCGTGCGACTTTCAACATAATTCAAACAGCGATCAAATGTGTAACTTCAATATGTGATAATTGAGACTTTCGTTTGTTTTGCACTCACTAAAAGTAAAGTGATTCTTCAGGAGTGAACTTATTTGTCACTACAACATACAGGATTTCGGCTGTTTGATGTTTTATACTGTAATTTTAAGACTCACTATCTAATTCCAACGAAGGTCATGGGACTTCGTTACAACTTCTCCCTTTACATTCTCATTCGAATAAATATATCGACGTCTTACAACACACAGTAGGTATCGAGTGTGTAGTATCTTCATTTCACGCACCAATTAGTATTCTTTTGGAGTTCTTGACATCTGTATAATTGTAGGCTTTTCTTTTGTGTAAACGAAGCGCATGTGAAACATGATATCTGATAATCGAGTTTCAGATTTGCTTTATGTGTGTATTATGGTCCTTTGTGTTTATAATATGTAATCTTTACTGAATTTCTCTGTTCGTTTATCTTACCCCTTATTTTCATTTCATCGTTCAAGCGTTAGTACTGAAAAAACCGGAATTTTTGTAAGAAAACCATATCTAAATCCCGTACTACTTACGAACGTGAATTGGTATATGTTAGACGTACTTGTCTGAAACGATTGTTTTGTGGTATGTTCAATGGCGAATGAATGGTGCTGATGGTATTCCCGCGTTATTGTTACACGATAATTCAGATTTACTAGCTGAATCAGATCGGGCCAAAGCTGTGACTTTTTCAAACTATTTTAGCGAAGTCCACTCTACGTTTATTGTAACAAATACTTGTCCCAATCACACCGATATATCAGTCATTGAATCTGTACAGGTGACTGAGGAAAGTGTTCTTCCGTTGATAACTAATCTTAAACCTTGTAAGATACCGGGTCCTGACGGGTTACATCCTTGGCTGATGTTATCTTTTGCGGACATTATTCCAAAACTGCTCGCGACACTCTTCAACATGTCTCTTTCACTCGCTCAACTCTCTAGGGATTGGAAAGATGCTATAGTCAGTCCTATATCTAAGGATAGTCAGAGACAGATCGTATCTAACTACCGGCCTGTCAGTTACTTGAAAAGATAATTCGTATTAGGTTGCTATGCCACATAGATTCACACAATCTGTTAGCTCCTGAGCATCATATATCTCGAAACAAGCGTTAATGCCTGACTAACTTATTGCGAGAGAGGATCGGACAGCAGCCTTAGATAAAGGTCTGTCTGTCGATGTGATACTCATAGATTTTATCAAAGCATTTGACAAAGTTTCACACTCAGGTCTTATGCAGAAGCTCTCAAGCTCCGGAATAATAGGCAATGTACAGGAGTGGATAGGAAACTTCTTATGTGACCGCAGACAGAGAGTGAGGGTCAATGGGACGCTATCCGATTGGAAGCCGGTCAAAAGTGGTGTACCCCGAGGCACCATCTTAGGCCCTCTGCTATTCCTTCTCTACGTAAATGAGTTACCGCTGTTGCTTAGGTCGTCGACATTATTATTTGCGGATGATGTCAAAATATGGAGAGCAATAAGAGGTGAGGCAGATCATCTGGATCTTCAATCTGACTTAGACGATTTAGTTAGATGGGCTCGAGATTGGGGTTTAGAAATCAACTCTAGGAAGTGTGCTAATGCACATCGGTCACGGCAATAATTACCATTATACTATTGATGGCAAACCTCTTCCATGCGTTCAAGAACATAAAGACTTAGGAGTAATAATAAGTCATGATTTAAAAACAACTGCGCACTGCAACGCAGCCGCTGTCAAAGGTTTTCGTGCGTTGTGGTCACTTCGCCGAGCGTCGAAATCTCTTGACGAGGAAACGTTCCGAATCTTATATCCCATCTATGTAAACCACATTTAGAGTACTGTATCCAGGCAGCTAGCCCATATCTGGTAAAGGATACTAACTCACTTCAGGGTGTCGGAACGAAATTAGTGAAGGCTCTTCCTAAACTCTCTTACGATGAGCGTTTAAAACGCCTAAACCTTTTCCCCTTGTCATATCGTAGGATTCGAGGCGATCTTATACTGGCATTTTGTATCTTTAATTATGACTTGAGTGTCGATATGTCTTATCTTTTTGCTCCCTACAGCACTAATAATCTCCGAGGTCATAGCAAGAAGGTTCATAAACCGCGATATAGTAACATTAAAGTGGGGTCCCAGTTTTCCCATAGGGCAGTCAATTATTGGAACGCCTTGCTCGAACAAGTGGTATCAGCCCCATCAGAGAATATTTTCAACGACAACCTGGACCTTCATTGGAAGGCAATCTGTCAGGATTAACACAGGTTCACCAACCTACTACTCTTACTACTGAATGAGTAACCGTTTTGATGCCAGAAGATACTAAGAAAACTTTTAGTTCCCTAATTTAAAAATGTACATTCTCTTTCTACACGATTAATCGTAACACGAAGTAAACCAAGACACCCATTATTATTAAACTTCGCTGTAGTGTAATTGTGTGCTTATCTACTCACTACTCAGGAGCGGCTACACACGGCATGTTTTTACTGATTAATGTAATTGGCTATGCAGTTAAATGTGAAGGATGCACTTGATTCCATGTATTCACATCGACAACTGGTTAGATTTCTCATTTCTTGGTGTCTTAGTGCTGGAATATCACATCTAAATATTGGTCTCTGAACATTCGAAACCAGAAAGCCGAAGCAAGAGGCAATGACACACTTGCAGCTTACTTTATTATTCTGAGACAGGAGAGTCCTCCAAGAGTAGAAAACACAATTAGCACCTGGTGTGGTAGTTAAATAACCCTGGTAATATCTGGGAATTACAAACTTAAAGACTGAACAGACGTGTCCCGACCGAACATCACAAGCAGCCTGGACAATACATATTTAATCAGAAGATACCAAACCATTGCTCAGTAATGTATTGGACAGTACATGCTTTCTGGGAGCACAAAAACAGTCAGTGACGCAGGCGATTCAATTCCGAGGAGCAATATTAATCAGATCAAGAACAATATTCTTTAACACATCAAAAGCATGTTCAGCTTTCTCGTAAGCTGATTTGGATTGCTCATATGCGGAAATAACAAGGCTAAGATCCTGTTGTGTTTGCAATGACTTTTGCTTCAACCTCTGTCTATAACGTTTTGACGCCTCACGATTGATCTCACGACGTCGTCTTGAATGAAAACTTCGTCTAACATTTGTCAAGATAAGGTCACTTGTGTACGAATTTGACTTTAAACTATCAGTATTGAGAGATTCTCCGACCAATTGAGGTAGGTGAAAGTCATTAGGTTGTGGGAAGTAAGGAGTTGCGTTAGCATCAGTGCAGCCGTCATACAGCAAATCAGAACCAGCCTCTGGACGACGCGTCTAAAAAAAGTATTAGTAAGCAATATATGTACCGAGTAGTCAGCAACAAAATTAAGAACGTCTTCTGGCACAAAATCAGAAAGGAATGGATCACAATCTCTCCCAGAATCCGGGCTTCGGCTTGTTGATATGTCAGATAAGAAATCTGACAATCATTAGTGCATATAGTAACGTACCTGAACAACGGTCAGGACTTTCACAACTGCCCAATACGTCTGAGCACCCAGATCTGACGGAAGAATCAGTGTAAAATGGAGAAACGAGACCAGTACTCCATAAAGGAGTAGTGGTCCCCAACAACGATTTTTGATATAACAAGTCCATAATTTATTAGCAATACAAGAGGGGTCCATTTTTGTTTCCTTGGGATCATCATGGCTACCTGAAATGGGAATGAATAAGGGAGTTAACATCTTACAAGCTCGCACGTCCGCGCGAAGAGTATCAAATTGTTCCAGTGGTAGCAGCTACTCCATAGTTTGTATCGTATGCACACTTGAATAAGTCTCAGATATGGAGGAGACAGAAATGACTGGTTCAAAGACTGTCCAATGCTCAACGTCTGCAGTTTTCAGTTTCATTTTGTAAAGGTATAAAAGCTAGGTCGCCTGTATTAGTCCTAAAGATGATGGTGTTCCAGTGGATCCGAATTTCATCTGAAAGTGTCAACAGATGTAAATTCAATAAAGTGTTGAGATAATTAATTTTATTCTTTAGTGACCGCCAACTGTCAAGTAATTTGTTCTGGACTTTTGAGAGTTTTTGGAGTGTCCTCGTGAGTTCGTCGTTTTGAAAAACAAGGAAAGTGGATGATATCAGGTGCGAATTTATCACCAATTAATTTAAAATCATATAAAGTTCCCCGTGTTTCTTCTACATGACAACAAAAACAGGTATAGTTAAGCCAGTCGAGCATCATAAGAGGGCTTTATGATACCGAGAATCAACTTATTTACGGTTCTTTGAATTTTTCTCAGAAACTCGCTGCCTCTTTTTAGGTAAGGACTGACCGATTTTATGCAAAGTCAAGGTGGTTTTAGCTTCGACATGACCAAAGACCACACGTATTGAACATATGAATCTAAAGCCTTCAGCGGCAGTGTGCAGTAGTTCATAAGTTTTGGCTAACGACGACTCCTATGTTATTGTGTGTCTGGACAACAGGTAGCTCACTGTTATCCACCGTGCATATATATATATACCTTGGTGATCAGTATGCATCATAATCCACTTGAAAGCATTTGTCTGCAACTGCCAAAATTTAGACCAGCCAGATAATTTAACCAGGTCATTCTGAAGCTCTGAACTATAGCCTTTACTTTTGATAGCTCTCTATATCTCGACATCACTTAGTTGCATACGCCTGTTACTCCTCGCGAAGGAGCAAAGGCCAGCCACAAGCATTCTCCATCCAACCATGTCCTGGGCAATCCTTTTCACCTCTTCCCAGTTCTTATTTATCCTTTTCATGTTCGCTTCTATTTCCCGACGTAATGTGTCTTTTGACCTTCCTCTTTCCCGCCCCCCTTCAGGATTCCAAGTTAGCGCTCGTCTCGTAATGCAGTTTGATGATTTCCTCAAAGTATGTCCTATCCATTTCCATCGTCTTTTCCTAATTTCCTCTTCCGCTGGAAGCTGGTTGGCTCTCTCCCACAAAAGGCTGTTGCTGATGGTATCCGGCCAATGGATGTTGAGTATCATGCGTAGACAGCTATTGATAAATACTTGTACCTTCTTGATGGTGGTTGTAGTAGTTCTCCAAGTTTCAGCTCCGTACAGTAGAACTGCCTCGACGTTGGTATTGAAGATTCTGACTTTGATATTGGTTGAAAGTTGTTTTGAGTTCCATATGTTCTTCAGTTGAAGGAATGCCGCTCTAGCTTTGCCAATCCTCGCCTTGACGTCTGCATCTGAACCTCCTCGTTTATCGATGATAAGGAGGATTCTACACCTTCCAGAGTTTCGCCATCAAGAGTGATTGGATTTCTGTTCTCCGTGTTGTATTTGAGGACCTTGGTTTCCCCTTGTGTATGTTGAGGCCCATTGATGCAGAGACTGCTGCTATGCTGGCTGTCTTTATCTACATTTTTTCGTGTGTATTGGATAAGAGGGCTAGGTCATCTGCGAAGTCGAAATCGCCTAATTGGTTCTGAGCTGTCGATTGTATGCCGTGCTCCCCCTCAGATGTCGAAGTCTTCATTATTCAGTCGACCACCAGAAGAAAGAGGAAGAGAGAGTAGACAGCCTTGTCTTACTCCGGTCCTTACTTGGAATGTGTCTGTCAGCTGTCCTCCATGCACTACTTTGCACTGTAGTCCGTCGTATGAGTTCCGGATAATGTTGACAATCTTCTCAGGAACTCCGTAGTGTCGAAGAATTTTCCATAACGTTCTTCTATCTACATTGTCAAATGCCTTCTCATAATCATTGAAGTTGATGTACAGTGACGAGTTCCACTCAATTGATTGTTCGACGATGGTCTGTGCACGACTGATCTTTGCGGAATCCAGCTTGTTGATCTCGAAGTTGAGAGTCTGCTGCGTCTATCATCCGGTTCAGCAACACTTTCAAAGACTTTTCCTGATACTGACAGTAGTGTTGTGGTGCGCGCTACTTATGTTGATATAAATAGTATATGATGCGAGTTAAAAACGTGATGCCTGGCAGCAAAAGATGGGGGAAGATGAAGAAAGGAAGAGCGGAAACACAATGGAATTTGTATGAAAACACATTAACAATGAAATGTCAGACAATCGATTGACGTTTTCAACAGGAACAGTCCAGTTTGATATGATAGATTGGTGTTTTGCAAATTAACGATTTACTATGTGGTTAGATTTTACTAACTAGTTCTGTAATTTGTTGTCAAATACATTCGATTGTCCCCACTGGTGTTCCTGTTCACTACAGTGTGATGCCTCTGTAGTTTTCACACTCGCTCAGATCTCCTTTCTTTGGAATCTTGATCAGATGTCCTTCTTTTCAGTCCATCGGCACTTGTTCCTCCTCTCAAATCTTCTTGAATAGAAGATGAAGTATGTTCGTAGTTACTTCAGTGTCTGACTTCAGTGCTTCGGCTGGTATATTGTCAGGTCCTGCTGCTTTCCCGCCCTTGATTTGTTTGATGGCCAGACTGATTTCTTCCATCGTTGGTGGATTGACATCTATAGGAAGATCTGTGTGTGCTGCTTCCATGTCCGGTGGATTGATTGTAGCCGGCCTATTCAGGAGTTCCTCAAAGTACTCTGCCCATCTGTTCCACCGTTGTTGAATCTCAGTGATTGGCCTATCTTCTTTGTCTTTGACCGGTATCTCCGGTTTATTATATCTTCCTTCTAGTTTCCTCGTTGTATCATAAAGCTGTTTCATATTTCTCACTCTTGCAGCTTTTCCTCCGACGTTGCCAGTTCTTCCACGTATTTCTGCTTGTCGGCTCTAATGCTCTACTTCACTTGCTTGTTTGCTTCTATGTATTCGGCTTGTGCTTGGACTTTCTCTGATCGTGTTCGGCTGTTGTTAATTGCTGTCTTCTTGTTCTTCCTTTCTTTGATCCTGTCCAGTGTTTCTATAGAGATCCATTCCTTGTGATGATGCTCCTTGGGGCCAAGAACCTCTTGACACGTTGAAGTTAATATTTCTTTTATACCTTTCCAGCTGTCCTCCGTAGTAGTTTCTTCTTCATTCAGTAGATCCTGTAGGGCTTGGAACCTGTTGTTGAGAGATGTCTTGAATTCATTGAGGTTGTCAGTATCTCGAAGGAAGGCTCTATTGAACCTTTGCAGCGCTGTTTGTCCAGTTCTTCTTTAGCTTCAGTTTTAAATTAGCCACAACCAGGTGGTGATCTGAAGCAATATCCGCTCCTCTCCTGGTTTTTACATCTCCCATTGTCCTTCGGAACTTTTTATTGATGCAAATATGATCTATCTGGTTCTCTGTGGTGTGGTCCGGTGAGATCCATGTAGCTTTGTGTATACGTTTGTGTGGAAATGTTGTACCGCCTATGACCAATTTATTGAATGCACACAGATTTGCAAATCTTTCTCCGTTTTCGTTTCTCTCTCCCAGTCCATGCAGTCCCATGATATCTTCATATCCGGTGTTGTCTATTCCGACTTTGGCGTTTAGATCTCTCATCAGAATGGTGAGGTCCTTTCTTAGGCACTTCTCTATGATTGATTGCAGCCTCTCATAGAACTGATCTTTAATGTCGTCGTTGCTAACATTGAATAATGTTCATTGTGATCCCCTCCTTCTTTGTTTTGAATGATGCTTTGATGATTCTGGATCCGTGAGATTCCCATCCTACAAGTGCACTTTGTGCTACTTTGGACAGCATTAGAGCAACTCCCTGAGTGTGTGGAGCATTTTCCTCTTCGTGATCGGAGTATAGCAACATCTCTCCCGTATTTAGCCTTTGTTGTCCAGCTTGGGTCTAACGGGTTTCGCTGATTCTCAATACTGCCAAGTTGTATCTCCTCATTTCCGTTGCTATTTGGCTGGTCTTCCTGATCTCCCACATTGTCCGGACGTTCCATGTACCCATAAAAATTGTTGCTCTGGTTGTTAGAAATAACATCGGCCTCATGGTTTCCGGTGGGACTCGGCTTTCACCACGAGGCGTCATATTTCCTCTAAATGAAGACCTTCGAATTCCCAGGGCAGAGTTTAAATGGTTTGAATTATCTTTTCTGGTTAGCGTTTTTTTGGCTAGTTAGTTTTATACGGGATGGGGTCGCCGACCCCATGATAAACCCTACCTTTTATCCGAGCTTGGGACTGGCGGCAACTCTAGGAGAGCTACAGGAGGAGTTTCGACACCGTCAGCATATGACAAAACCGATGGTGATAGGAGACTAGGAAGGTCATCTACAAACAGGAGGACAACACTGGCCCTAAAACTGTACCCTGAGGCACTGTGGTAAGCACAGCTTCCCACATAGACAACCTCGAGTTCACACGTACTCTTTGTTGACGCTCAACTAGGTAGTACTTTATCCACAATAATATGCCTCCAACCCCAATATTACTTAACTTATATGACATCCGGTTGTGATCAGCTCTATCGAAAGCCTTGCTGAAGTCTATGTAAGCTACATCATCAGGTAACTTTCGATCTTTATGAGCGCACCAAATTTCATGGGCCACCAATAATTTTGCGAGACATGAATAACCTGTTTTAAAGCCATACTGTTTTTCATGAAGATTAAGCTCGTAGTCTAGATAATCAAACAACCACTTCCGAACAATCTTTTCTAAAGTTTTAGCAACCACCCTCACTAGGCTTACATGTTGATAGCTCTCATGTCTATATATCATGCCTGTCTTGAATATGGGACTTACTAAGGCATTTATCCAGTATTTTGGTAATCTGCTTTGGCTTACAGATAGATTAGAACATATGCTTAAGGGATTCGCAATAAAATTTACTAATTCCTTTCGTAACCTTGGATGCATTTCAGCGGGTCCCATAGATTTGCATATATCAAGCCCATTTAGCAGACCAAAGACATCGATTGCTCTAATGATCACAGTGA